TGAGTTTGTGTAGTAGAGCAAACTGAGACAGACTTCAGATTTACACAGCGGACTTTAATACTCACACACACTCCTCCATATCCCCATTTGATTCAGTGTGTAGCCCTATGTCTGATTTATTCAGCCAACATTTGACAAATTCTGTGACATTCAGCATTATACTGTACATTTCATGAGAGGCTTGTGTGTGTGTGTGTGTGTGTGTGTGTGTGTGTGTGTGTGTGTGTGTGTGTGTGTGTGTGTGTGTGTGTGTCAGGTGTCATGTGAGGACGCTGAGAGGTCAGCTGATCGAAAAGTGACGTTTGATGTCACCGAGTCAGAGATGAGCAGCATCTACAGCCCGGAGGGAACAGGTGACACACACACACACACACTCACACATGCACTCTCACACACACACACACACACACACACACACACACACACACACACACACACAGCTGTGTTTTTGCACACACACACACACACACACACACACACTCACACATGCACTCTCACACACACACTCACACACACATGCACTCTCACACATGCACTCTCACACACACTCACACACACACTCTCACACACACACACACACACACACACACACACACACACACACTCACACACACACACACACATGCACTCTCACACACACACTCACACCACATGCACACACACACACACACACACATAAAGTGCCCCTATTATTATTATAGTATGTAATAAAGCTGTTTTAAATGTAAAGGGTCTGCAAAGATTAAAGTGCAGATAAATGGAGTTTTTCTCCTAAAAGAAAGAAGTGATTCTGAACTGAAACGAGCTGTCAGTAATACAGTCTCACTTCCTGCTGAACCGCCGTACGTGTGTAACTAATTAGCATAAAGCCAGCCTGTGGTCTTGATTGGCTGAACAGCGACTCTAAGCCCCGCCCTCAAACACTGTAGTGTATCTGAGACTGGGAGAGTTCGGTTCGTGTTGTTCATGTGGAGAAGACGCTGTTTTCTGCTGACAAAGCAAATCCACTGTGATGAGATTGATACGGTAAAACCCACGACATCGCCACTGTTCGTATCACTGTGTGTCAAGAGCTGAGACTCAGATATGATCATGAGCGTTTGCTTTCTGACCAATCACAACAGACTGGGCCGTCCGACCAATCAGAGCAGTGCAGCTCTCAGAGAGGCGGGGTTTAGAGAGTCTGAATCCTTTATCAAACCGTTTCAGACAAAGAGCTGCTGCTGCAGTGGATATTATGAGAAAATCAAAGTGTTTTTGATTTTGGATGCATGTAAACATGATGTTAGAGAAACCAAATCAAAATTAGGAACATTTGCATGATAGGGGCACTTTAAGACACTAGAGCTTGTGTTAATGCAGTGGTTCACGAGTGTCTGATCGTCTGTCAGTTCCAGTGAAGGTGCAGCAGTTGGCCGACTCTCTGCAGCTGATCTCAGGTCAGCTCAATTCTGTGTTAGGAGCTTTGGGTTCACTGACCCACAAACAGGCTCCGCCCACTCTGACCACACCTCTACCACCCCGTCCCTCGTGGGCGTGGCCTGTAAACTCCTCCCCCTCGCTGTCCAACGGACTCACACACAGACCCACAGACTCGCTGCAGAACCGCTGGTCGGGCCTGAGCACAGGTGAGACACACACACACACACACACACGTCATCACCTACAGCATCATCTGAACATCATCTCTGTTTCCACAGAAACCAGCAGAGCTCACATGACCTACTCAGGATACACACCGCCAAGGTGAGCTCACACACACACACACACACACACTCTCTCTCTCTCTCTCTCTCTCTCTCTCTCTCTCTCTCTCTCTCTCTCTCTCTCTCTCTCTCTCTCTCTCTCTCTCTCTCTCTCTCTCTCTCTCTCTCTCTCTCTCTCTCTCTCTCTCACACACACACCAGTCTTCCACAGTCATATAGATATTCAGTGTAAATAGTTGTTAGCTTGTGTGTGTGTGTGTGTGTGTGTGTGTGTGTGTGTGTGCAGTCTGTCAAGTCTGCGTCCATCAGCAGAGGTGGACGGTCAGCGGCTGCAGGGTCTGATTGAAGGAAACAAACGCTGGCTGGAAGCTCAACGGAAGAACCGCAACATGTATCCTTACAGAGCCGGATGCTTTTCCTCAAGGAGAACGGGTTTATTTCATGTCAGGTGGTTTGGGTTGAAATCACGGGGGGCTCGAGAAACGTCACCAACTTTCTACCCTGAACACACACACACGCACACACTACACGCACTCTTTCACACACACACACACACACGCACACACACACACACACGCACACACACACACACTCACACACATACTGGAGTAAATGTGTATTTCAGTGAATGAGCTTCTCTGTGTCTCGTGCTGTTTTCCTGAGCGTCTCACACACAGTCCTCTCTTCCCAAACCTCAGGACCGGGTCCAGCAGCGCTGGGTTAGTTCAGCTCAGCCTGGACGACAACAACCAGATTAAAGTCCATCATTACTGAAGCAGCTCGAATACACACACCTGTGTTTCTCAGGAAAATCACCAGCGCTTGTATGAGCTGTGAGGAAGTTTGTCTGCTTTTTCATGTGTATAGCTGTGTGCAGATCTCATTTGTACAATATTTTTGTAAACAATTAAATTAATTTAATACTTGATGCAGGTGTGAGTTTCTTCATTTTTATGTTTTGTGATTTAGATGTTGGATATTAGCAAATTAACCGTTAATTTGTCCTGCTGGACTATTTGGGTTTGTAATTGTTTCTCATTGTGTAATAAAGTAAACATACAATGCCTTTCACATGCTTCAAATGTAAAAAAAAAAAAAAAAAATTCCTATCTTATATCAACTTATATCTTAAATGTCATCAAAATGGATTTCTGATTTCTGATTAATGTAAACTCTGTCAGTAATTACTCACCATCATGTTGTTCAACCCCGTAAGACTTTCGTTCATCTTCGGGACACAAATTAAGATATCTTTTATTAAATCTGAGAGCTGGATCACTCCTCCATAGGCTTCTAAGGGATTGAAACTTGCCGGCCCAGAAAAGTTATTAAAGACATCGATAAAATAGTCCAAGTGACTACAGTGGTTCAACCAGAAGTTTATCAAGTATACTTTTTGTGCACAAAAAAACACAAAAATAACGACTTTATTCAACTCTTCATGTTCTTCTCTGTGGGCCTTGAGTGAGTTCACGTTGTGTAACAGCGCAGCGCTTCTGTGTTGTACATCACACGCGTCACATGACCAGCGTCGGCCAATAGTGAGCCTACGTGTGACGTACAAGTTTTACAACTCTTTTAATATATATATATATATATATATATATATATATATATATATATATATATATATATATATATAATTAATATAATAATTATTAAAATTATTAAAATAATAACTAATAAAATGTTATAAACCTTGCCAAAAAGTATTATTTGAGAATTTCTAAAAAAATACATTCAATCCACATCTTAAAAGTAAGTAATTTGGTCCAAAAACAACTAGAATTCACAAGCATCTCCATTTAGAGCTATACAGGCATCTAGTGGTAAACCCATGCAATAACATGATTTATTTAATTTTATGTTTAATAAATTGATTTTTTTTTTTTTTTAATTTATTTTCTGAAAACCTAGTCTCTATTTTTGACCGAAAATACTGCATAGAAGAAAAAAAAAAAAAACATTATTTTCAATGGCAAAAAATGGACCATAAATATTGCATACATATTAATAAGTTCAATCAAATTGTCTCAAAATACTAAATTAAAAAGAATAAATATTATAGAACAAAAATAAATTGCATTGGTTTTACTGGGATGGAGGAAGTTTCATTTTTAGGTGTCCGGTCACTTCTGACCGGGAAGATAACAAGTGTGACTCCAAAACGAAGCCCGTCTGAGGGTTAATAAGGCTGACTGATTTGGATTTGAGTGGTTGGCTACTTCGTCTTTTTATCAGTCAGTTTCAAAAGCATGGAAACCTATAAGAGATCCCGGAAGCTGAATACAACATGAACCTCTTTTCAGCAATCCTCTGAGAGAAGTCAATGAACTATGTCTGAAGAGCTTGAGATCTTTAAAGGGACTATAAGTAACTTTTTAGGTATTTTATAATCTAAAATCAATATTTTTATTCATAAATATGTCCCCAATGGTGTACAAATACCTCTGCCAATTATCTGATTTATCCTCGTAAACGAAGAATTTATTATATTTATATACATGGGACGGGTAAGTCCACGGAGGCTTCCATGTAGTTCCGCCATCTTGAAAAACTATAATAGCAGAGAGGGACAAAAAGTACGCCAGCGCGTTTCCACAACGCGTTTTCGTTCAGAGCCGGCGTGACGTGACTGAAAGCAGAAGCGGAGGAGCAGAGCGGTGAGAGGCGCTTGTCACGGCCCCGGCAAGTTTAAAAGGCTGCATTGCAAATCCTCGTCGCCAGAAAAGTCCAAAATAGATCGTAAAAGGAAACGTGACCGGAGATTACAAAAAACACGAGTTAATGTCGGGATAGCTTTTTCGAGGTGGATAGAGCTAATGCAGGAGAAAGATTTCAAAAGAGACGCTGAATCCTGCTTTCTTCTCGACAGGCAAGTCAATGCTACAGTCTTAATTACAAGCTTTTTTTCATTGTTTGGTTGTGTACTTTATTTTATAGACAGATGAACATGTATAGTTAAAAGCTGATGATGATCTAACAATGCACGTACTTCAGAAAATATAACGAATAAAGAAGGCATAACTACTAATTACAATAGTTCATGTTTTTGACACTCATTACTTCATACTGTAACATTCGTTTGTTCGTTGTGTCAATTTGAAGTTTGTTTGAAATAACAAACCTGTTCACCGAAGGAGAACTCGACGAAGTGCTATTAGAAGACATCCTGTCATAGCTTTTTGGTACATAACGGCAACCGTAGATGCAACGCGCACTTGAAAAAGCGAGGCGCTGGAGAGCAAAATTCGTTTGAATGCAAAATAATATTTCACCGCTGGATGGGGGTACTTCTCACACAGTGTCCCTTTAATGGCAAAAGCTTGTTGTACTAAAGTATCCGATTCGAGAACTGGGAACAGCTTGACAAGTCCTGAGGAGATGTGCTGTCTGACGGCTTCATGAAGATAATACTAAACAGGATTTTTTTTTCTTTTTGTTTTTACCTTCTGCATTTAGACAGTTTGAAGAAGCTAATGAGATGACTCTACGGAACAATGTTATTATTATGAATTTCCAGAGTTAAAGATTTACGCAGTCATCGAAGAACAACCAGAGAAGGATTCAATTCTCAATTTCAGAACTCCACAATGAATAACTGTGGCGAAACAAATATTTTATGCACAAGTTGATAATTGTATTTTGTTGACAAAATATTTTAGTTCGTCTTGTATATATTTTTTTTATTAGATCAGATAACATTTTAATCTGTCATATGGTCATATTACAATGTGCCACACCTATGGGGCATGTTGTCACATTTCCCTTCCATTCTTTCGGGGTAGCCTAAATAAAGAAATAAGTATAAACTGTAATAATGAAACAAAACCACAATTGTACTAGACGTGTGAAATTAATGTGGGGAAAAAATAAATACTCTGAACCCAAAGTGGATTCACACAAACTGAGAAAGTCAAAAAGTGTTAGGATGTGCACCGCTCTACCCTATCTACTTTTAGTGGTGTGTGTGTGTGTGTGTGAGAAAGAGAGAGAGAGAGGGAGAGGGAGAGGGAGAGGGAGAGGGAGTGTGAGAGTAAATGGTCGCTTCACTGCTTGGTCGACTCTTCCCTCTTTTTGAGCTTGTGTATTCTACTTTTTGAAGTAGGCACAAATCATTTTTAAATTGGGAAAATAACTTTTTTCGAATTTCATTATAATTAGGACAGGTGGTTGGTCAGAAGTGCAGGGGCCTCATTTATAAAACTGTGCGTAGGATACTTACTAAAAGTGTACGTGCGCCTGAAAGCCAAAAATGGCGTACGCAAAAAAATATTCAGACTTATAAAACCGTTCTTACGCCAGAACCTGCGCAAAATTCCCTTTATAAATCCCAGTCAGCGGAAGATTGTGCGCACATGCGTCTCCACCCCGAAATAACCATATATGGAGCTTACAACGCCTAGTTTTACTATGCATATCCTTATCTGCATGTCATTTGCATATGATTATTCATCCACGTGATACCATGTTTAACGGTAGGCTACAAGACGTTAGTAAAATATGAAATACGGATGTGCCGTCACATTATTACATTCATACTTATTTAGTAGCCTATATCCTTGCCTTGTTTTTAAATAAACAAATAAATCAAATAGTGTAAAATACATTTCAGAGAAAGTTTTTCTCACTCTTTTCCACTGGCCAAATAGTATTTTTAATTGATATTTTTAATGGAAACAGATAGACATTGTTGTTCATTATTTGCACGAAACAATTTCCCCAGACAATCTGCTATTAGCTATCAGTTAAAACATTAAAACACAGCATGCCAGAGGAAAAGTGTTCAAAAGCATTGCATCAACAACAAATAGGTCTATTTCTATTTATTGAATTTTTTTTTTTTTGTAATTTCTCAGTAATGATTTCATGTAGCTAGTTTAAATGTTTAACTCCATTAATGAGAATGGCATATTTAATCTAAATGTTTATATCAGAAGTAAAACATAGGCTAGTTTAAATCATTCTTTTATTTATTTAAAATGTTATTGTGAACACGTGCTTCTTGACGGTTTTGTAATGAACACCGTAGTTAGGACCGATGATGAGTAGCGATTGTGCTTCATGACTGTGTTCTGCAGTTCTCTAATAAAAGGGTATTTCATGCTATTCTGTAGGCCTATCACATGTAGTCGCGCGGTGTCCTCCTGCGCTCCCGTTGTGGACAATATGACTGTAAGGCAGCGCTGATTATTATTATTATTTTTTTTAATACATTTTGAATTACGTTTGGATTTTACTAGATGTAGGCTATATAGCCTAAAACAATCGGCACAAATAACACTGTTGGATTTAATCTTCATGATAATGTGGATATAACGTATGAAATGGAGTGAAAATTAAATGTCATTAATAATCGTTCTTCTCACATTTATTTTCTACAATCTAACTTCAGTTCACTACCTCACCATCTGTGTCGCCAATTCCCTTTGTCTCCAGAATGTGCGTACGCACGGTCAAGAGCATCCTTACGGTGCGCACTCATTTACGCCAAGTTTATTTTTTATAAATCCCGATATGTGCGTGGAAAAATGCGTAGGCCTACGCATAATTCTATGCCCATTTTGTGCGTACGCAACGTTTATACATCAGGCCCCAGCTCTGTTTCTATTTCTCCTTGGCTACAGTGTGGCTACAGGCCTCCTCTCTCCCTCTCTCTCTTTCTCTCTGAAGTGTTTTCGAATTTCATTATAATTGGTCACAGGTGGTTAAAAAGTGCACTAGTGCAGCTCTACTTCTATTGTCCTTGGGTAACAGTACAGGCATAACCTGCTCTCTCTCGCTCCGGTGCATT